CCAGCAATCTCCTCCTCAAGTTTGCGGAGCAGCACACGACGGCGTAGCATGTCTGTACGCTGTATATTAGATTGTTTTGAAGCATCGCTTTCGCTTTTGCGACGTCGATAATTGCGGTCCTGTCGAGCAGCTAAAATATCCTCGGAACCTCTGTTATGTGGTGACAACACGCTTGCTAGCGAGGATCGCATATGTGAGAGCTGCCGCTTGACTCTATAAGTTCGCACTCCGTCATCGTCACTAGAGCTAGATCCAACGTCTTCGGCGCCGAGGGACTTGTATTTGCGTAACCCAATTCGTGCACATAGGAGATTGTGCGCTTTTTGACTATGCACCTGGCGTTCCGACGAGGCGTGTACAATTGCTGCGTACTGCTTGTCTAGACGTTTTTCATACTCAGGTGCCACGACAAAGTAAGATAGTAGCGCCGCAGTCACCACAGCGATACTTAGCACTAGCAACACAAGCTGTGTCTCTGTGTATTCGGCGGTGACTGTCATTAGTAAAGTCAGTCCTTGTTCCATCGCTATTTCTCAAATCCAGCAATAGGTATCAAAGGTAAATCGATGAGTCAAATAACAAGTGATCCTGATCTTATTCGGCAGAGACTAAAGACGGCCGATGCGACGTGTAGAACTCGTTGTGAGCGTTCTTCAGATCTTCCCACGCCTTTCCTTTAGCGTTTCTTCTGTTTTTTCTCGTACAGCGCGCTCTTTGAGACGTGCACGACCAAGTTAGAGAGCTCGTAAGTCCAGCCAGCAAATGGGCTCAATCGGAACGCCGGTCAGTGAATTTCTTTGCGTTGTAGGCAAGTAACGACGTGACGGAGATCACCAAAGTTTTCTTTGCTAACCGAGATAAATCTGCTAAACCAAAAAAATGGAACCTTTCGTGTGGCAAATGTATGTGGTGAGCTGATTCTTATGTGAATCCCAACGTTAGCAGTGTCGATGAAAAGATGCCTAAGTTGTACTTGAAGTAAAAAGCTCATGTGCGGAGATTTATCAGAACTTTAGGACATTGCTGCCAGTATCGAAACGTACAATGGTGCTAATTTAGCACTGCTAAATGTGGACTCGGTAACGATGCCTGATTTAGATTAAATTTTGTCCCCCGCTACCTTTCATAAACATTCGGTAGCGCACGACTATGCGTGCCGCATGTCACACGGTTTCAAGCTCGTTAGCGCCAGGACCTCTGAACCTTACGCGATGCACGATGCATAGTATGCCAACCTAGACAAAACTATTATATCACAAACCTTGCGGAGAAAATCACCACCAGACAATTGATTGAGATTGTGGCGTATAAATAGAAGCGTGACAACATAAAGATGTCACGAAAATCATATTTGCCAAGGACGAGTCTATTGGATTTCATGGGCAGGCTACATACTCCATACCACGTCAAATTCCAGGCTGCAACTGTTCCGCGCCATGGCGAAGGTTTCGAGAAGTGTATTTCGCGCAACAAACGCATTGAGGAATAGTTCAATGGCAGCAAGTACTTTGCTTAAAAAGTGATTAATTCAGAATCGGAGTATAAAAATAGCTATAACTGTTTTGTTGCTATCTTTAATTTTAACCCTGATTAATGCGGTGTGGGTCAAATTCTATCGACCTTATATTCCTAGGGCACTGTTCGTATTTAAATATCAACACTGATATTGAAGCAAGTTTATCCTCGTTGATGAGCAATGACCTAAGGATTAAAATAATCACAGCTGCCGTAGCTCTTTGCTTAGAGGAAGCTTACGTAAGGTCACCGACCTTGTGACGGGGCACACGGCACCTTGCACAGAGGAAGCTTGACTTCCAAGAGTATACA